GCACCCATCCCTACCTTTTTAATCTCTTCATAATTTTATGTGTACACTCCTTTTAATAAAATCTAATTTTCTTTCTAACGACACTCAACTTAATAATACCTTGCAATTCATAATTCTCAATTCACAATTCTTCTTCACGGGAAATGAGAACTAGCAGGAAGCAACAAGACACACGAGAAGAATTGGAGATAAGTGAAGTGAGTGAACAAGATGAAAGAAGAAAAGGAGAGATAGAAGAAGAAAGAAAGGACAAGAGTCAAAAAGAAGAAAGAAACGTAGAGCGGGAAATTTGGCCTACAAAAGCAAGGTGCAAAATGAACATCGATACGTGGGAGAGAGAGCTAGAGAAACACAAACTATCCGATTTCTACGACTTCGTAATCGAAGGATTCAGGAATGGCTTCGACCAAGGAATTCCAGTCCATTCGATTCAAGGAATGGACTATTACTGCCCTCCAAACCATAAATCAGCTATGTCAGCAAGAAAACAGATAGAAGATAGTATCGCGGAAGAGGTAAAAGCGAAGAGAATGATAGGACCCTTTACAAAAGAAGAGGTAGCAGAACATTTCAAATTCTTTTGATCTAGTCCAATGGGAGCCGTAATAAATGGTGACGGTTCCTTTAGACCTATCAACGACTTGTCATTCCCGAAAAACGATCCGAATATACCCAGCGTTAACTCCTTCGTGAATAAGGATGACTTTAAGACGACCTGGGACAACTTCTCAAGAGTGTACTCCTTCATAGCAAACTCGGAACACAAACTACTGATAGTGCTATTCGACTGGCTAAAAGCCTATCGACAAATTCCAACAAGGCCAGATCAGTGGCCATACCTCTTATTGATGGATTTCGAAGGACGACTTTACATTGACCTGTTCATCTCATTCGGAGGAGTTGCTGGCTGCGGAAGTTTTGGAGGACCCGCAGACGCATGGAAAGACCTAATAAAGCAAGAATCCAACTGAAAGAAGCCTTCCGCTGGGTAGATGACAATCTGCTCATCAAGAAAGCAGATTCGACAACCCACATGGACGAGATAGTAAAGTACAGCTCAGAATTAGGCGTGAAAACAAACGAAACGAAATTTTCGCACTTCAGCGACCAACAAAAGTATATTGGTTTTCTATGGAACACATCAGAAAAAACAGTGGAATTACCGGAAAAGAAGCTAGAGCAAAGAATAGCTCAACTAGAAGAGTTTCTGAAAAAAACCGACTATACCCATAAAGAAGTCCAAAAGATGAACGGACGACTAAACCACGTAGCATACATTGCACCAAACTTAAGACGCTACCTATCTAACAACTTCAGATGGCTAGCAGAGTGGGTAAACCATGCGGCAAAAAGGAAGATGCCGACTGCAGTTAGAGAAGACATGAACAAATGGAGGGAGTCACTAGTGAACATCCCTAGAAGACTACTCTTAAGGACAAGAACCATCAACAATATAGGTTGGGTCGGAGACGCGTCAACGACCTTTGGGATAGGAGTAATTATCGGAAAAAACTGGGGACAATTCAAGTTGAAAGAAGGCTGGGAGACTCCACCAAGAGGCCCGAAAAGAGGGATAGCGTGGCTGGAAACAGTCGCAATACGGATGGGATTTCTAATGGCACAAAAATTACGCCAAGTAACTGGAGAGCGATTTCTGGTCCTGACGGACAACACCACAACAGAGGGAGTCCTCAGGAATGAGAGATCACGAGATTACTGGGTTAACGAGGAGTGGAAAGAGATCGCAGAGCTCTTATTCTTTCATGACTGTCAACTCGAGCAGAAGAGAGTAACTTCAGTCGACAACGCCGCCGACCTGCTCTCAAGAGGCTTACCTTCCTCGAAGGAATGGTACAGACAAGTTCACGTAGACATCCCGAAAGATCTGAAGACTTGTTTGGTCGATGTAACTCTAGAACAGTAAGAACATCACAAAGGTAAGTAAAAAGACCGTGCGTCACATAAGAATCGTTTTTCCCAAAGAGGCTAACAGATTCCGCCGGCCGAGAACAGACTCTCATGCAACAACCTTCCGGGAACATAAGTCCCACAGTCCTTTGCTTGGCTCGATGGAGAATGCAAATCGGTTCCTTACACACGCTAGCCACCTCCCAAGTTCCTTGAACACAAACGACTGACTTTATCCATACACACCCCTTCCTCGTCAACGCATAAATACCAATTTTCATTAGTACCACTGTAGCCTGGACCTCATCCCTACGTTAATCCCCCTGTCTCGACCTCTCGAAACCCAAAGTCAACTGGAAACGGTCGACCTAAGCCTGATACCAACGCTTCAGCTCAGCACGACTAGACCAAGTCACCACAACACTCAGGTGAGGCCTTTTGTGTTGGGCTATTCACATGCCAAAGACGTAACTAATGCAGATGACTTGCAAAGGAAACGTAGAGGACAATAAGACCTTCACGACACACTAATACCTACGAGACCGCGGTACCAAATCGAGCAGCGATGAAAGATCTGACAACCTTCCTTAGAATCCAAGACAATGTCCCCTTGAGACTGAACACCGCCCAACGACACATGCTACGGGCGGCTGGGAATAGGTCAACTTTGGAATCCTATGCGTCAGGAGTGAAAAAGTTCAAGACTTTTACGAAAGAGAGAAAAATGAAGGCTTTCCCTGCAACCGAATCAATGGTCGAAGAATTCATCGTTTGGGCTGGCGAAAGCTGGGATAGGAAGAATACCAACAAACCCATAAAAGTTTTGACGATACGAAAATACCTCACTGCCATAAGGACCTGGCATGCCTTCCATGGCTTCTGTTTCCCCGACATACAACTCACACGCCTAAAGTCCATCCTACGAGCTACAGCAAGACTAGAAGCACGCGCTCCGACACAAACGCTCAACCGTAAACCTGTCACACCAAAGTCCTTAATAATCTTAATCGGTAGCATTGCAGAACACGAAGCAGACCCGGAAGGCCTCTCCGCAATCGCACTCACAGCGTACTGGGGTCTGGCTCGCCTAGGCGAACTAGTATGCAAAACAGTGGCATACGACAAACACGGCTACTCGTCAGTGCTTCGATCTCAGATCTCCTTCCATAAGTCTGCAGGTATCGACGTAGCGGTTATTCAATTGCATGAAGCGAAAAATGCAGCCCCGGGAGAGACCCAAAGTTTGGTACTTCGACAAACAGGCGGGGTTCTGTGCCCTGTGGCGGCACTACGACGCTTAACCAACTCATTCTTCTGGGAAAACGACCCACGACTCTTCCTGATGAGAGGACCAAATGGAGTGGTAGGGATCACACGAGCACACATGGTGAAGACGATGTCAGCAGCCTGGGACCCTTCATCAAGGTTGACAGGACACTCCTTCAGAATAGGAGGCGCGACTTTACTCACGAAGGCAGGGGTTTCAACTGATAAGATCAAGGATTTGGGCCGCTGGAAGTCGTCCTGTCACTCTCTCTACCAGCGGAATTGGAACAACCAAGAATGGGAAGCGGCGAAGAGAGCACTACGGATCTCAGAAGACACGATCCCTTGCTTCGAGACCGTACATGACCTCTCGGTGAACACATGGGTGTGACACGAGGAGAGAGAAGAGCCCCCCGAGGCGTGGCTGCGAGAGAACACCATTCAAGCAAAGAAGATCTCCGGTAGTCATGCATCGGCTGTTTCATCTCACTTGTCAGGTACCTTGTAGCGGTGTTGCCTTTATATTCTTGGAAAGCAATCTTTTCCCTTTTTCGAGCGATGCATTTTCACACCGCCAAAAGATGACGGTGAGCCCTCCCAATACATCAAATCCACTGCGCTTGACAACAGGTGGTGGGAAAGCCCTTCAGGCTCAGGCCTGCTGCCAGCCCAGAGAGTGGGGAGAAGGCCTTTCCCTACATACCCAGGTACCCGTACGATGATACGATACACCGTGTCCGTATCCGTGTAGCACGTCGACGTGCACACACCAAATACTTTTGATACATACTTGAAAGAGCCATTAAAGAGGTCTCCACCATAGGCATGTCTTCCCTTTGTCAACTGGGACGTTGGCACTCAGTTGACCCCAACTGCTGACAAAGGATCCCACAAATTCTTTTGTCAAATTATCATTCACAAAGGGTGCTCGGCACCGATCTCAGTCTAAAGCCTACCAAACACCTTTCTGTTTTTTATCAAAACTCTCCGTGTGTGCACGTCGACGTGCTACAAGGATACCGACATGGTGATAGGTCTCTTCCAGGGAGACCTCTCGTTTCAATCCTTTTGTGAACCTCACCTAGCTATCAGGCCCGCAGTAGGGAGAGTTCAAAAGGAACTATCCGTACAGGCGGCGCCTAACCCCCGTTGTTAATATCTTTCCTCACTTAGGTATAACCTAAGCAAGGAAAGAATGTACCCTTAAGGTATAAATGTTGAAGTTATAAATTGTAATGGATAGCCTCTTGCTCGAGGCACGAGGTGCAAGACATGTCCATGAATAGGGTAACTCGTAAGTTTAGGTAAAGCCAAGGGGACGGAAGGAATTTGGAATTACAGAATCCCAATCTGGAAACAATCTGTTCCAGAACGGGAAAAGGTCGTGCAACACATCTGAAGCAGAGAAGAAAGGATTCAGTAGAGAAGCTTTCCAACTTCTCCTGAGCAGACCTACTCCGCGTCTCCTTCCTGCAAGCATCTCTCCATTCTATCTTACTTCACTATTCACCATTCACAATTTTAAAACTTGCTCCTAGTTATTTAGGAACATTACTTTACTAACAAAATTTTGCCTCCCACCCACCCTCAGGTAATGAAACGCTAGATGGTGATCAAAAGGTGTACGTCGGTACACATAACCCGTACGATGATACAATAGGTCTCTTCCAGGGAGACCTCTCGTTTCGATCCTTTTGTGAACCTCACCTAGCTATCAGGCCCGCAGTAGGGAGAGTTCAAAAGGAACTATCCGTACAGGCGGCGCCTAACCCCCGTTGTTAATATCTTTCCTCACTTAGGTATAACCTAAGCAAGGAAAGAATGTACCCTTAAGGTATAAATGTTGAAGTTATAAATTGTAATGGACTGAGAAATGAAGCCATTCCATCAACAAAGAATTCATTTTATACACTGTGGAAAATACCTCGTAGCACGTCGATGTGCGCACACGACGAGATTTGAAAAAAAGGATAATGTTTTGTTGAAGTAAGTGTGCGCAAAGCAGCTCAGACCTGCATGATTGTCTCACGGAGGGCTTGCTTTCTGAGCACCTGGACAAAGGGATAGTCTTTGGATCCAAAGATCTGTTCAAAGGGAAAGTCTTCGGAGCCAAAGACCTGTTTAAAACTTCTATCATTCCACTATGACTTTCTTTTTGTGTGGTCAAGTCGAGGTGCTACCAAGAAATTTACACGGTGATAATTACAAGAAAAAGTTTCCTTTGAAAAGATGAAAAACATGTTTTGTTAAAAATCGTCGGTATATATACAATTTTGCAGAATTTTGCAATCTCAAATAAGATTACAAAATTCTTCTACCCGTTCCACCAATTCCACCTTTAGCCTAGCCCGTTTGACTCCACACACTGTGTACATGCTATTCAGGGTGAATTTGGATCAATACATAATTTGAAAACAATGAAAAGATCAATTACGTACTGATGAAGGCCGCATTGGAAAGTGGGCAAAGGTACCTGTTGGTGGCCCCTGAATTCCAGCATTCTATAAAATGGGAGAGAGGACAGGTTTGAGAAGGACGAAATCTGTTAAATGAATTCCAATACTGGAGACTAAAGAGTAAAGAGTGGAAGGATAACTGACGAAAATTATCTCCGCTTGGAACAATAGCGTAACGGACACATTGTTGTACGCTCGTTCCTGGGGGACCACCGATGAGTCTACAACCACTCATTGATACCCATTTATGATCTATAGATGCCATGTTGATAAAGCACGAGTTTAGAAGAGGGTTAGGGGAACACGATTAAAGATCAACAAAGGAGCATCACAACTTACTGTCTTTCTGGCAATTGGCCGTTAGGCACTTCCAATATTTTTCTGTGTTATCACCCAGCTTTTGACCACACTCTTTTGAAAATGAAGTGGAAATTAGAGCTTGTTTCTTTAGGGGCAATAAATGTGAATCCATTTTACTTACTTGCGTTTGATTCGAGGGTTAAGGTGCCAAATGATTCGGTACACACGACTGTCGTAAGTTTTTCTGAGAGTGTGAAAGCAAACTGTGTGATGCATATAGCAATGAATGCGATAAAAAACTTATGAGTGGATTGAAAGGAGGACATGTGTGTAAATGGAAAACAGATTGAAAAAGATATGAAAAAGATAGCATGCGATTGGGAGAGCGGTTGGAAACAGGCTTGAAATTTGGTAGAGCAGTATAAATAGCCACTTCGACCCACGGGGAAAGCCAGGGAAAGCCTTGGATAAGGCTGTAGAGCGGGGTTCATCAGGAATTTTGCGTAGTAGGGCGTAGTCTTGTCCTTCGCAACGCCTGTACTGTAATAATGGTTCTACCCTTTTTTCTGTATTCCACAAGGTCGCTTACAGAGAATTTGAGCACAGCGTACGTGTCACGTGAACAAGGAGAGCTAGGCAGCCTAAGCACACACCAGCCAAGCTCTTCAAGAGGATCCATCAGAGATGCATGAGCGTGTCCAGTGAATTATAGAGGTTTTCGAAAGAGACAAATCTTTGCGAACGAAATGAAATGGATTCAGATATTCTACATATATCATAATTCTCTTTTTCATCATAAGGTCTGACTCTAATTATCCCTTCATCAAGTATGTACTTCATTTGGAATTTCTTTTCCAGAAGCGAACTCATTTATCATGAATGGAATGCATTATGAGTATCAATGGCGTTGGGATAGATGAATACAATGATGGTAAAATGTTAATTTCTCCATCAACAAGATTTACTGCGTGTGCAACAATACGGGTGCAGTCACTTGCGCTGTCTGTGCTTAAGGCAAGATTTCATGATAAATCCAACTCGCAATGATACCTTGTGATAGTACAGCTATCCATCTCTGACGTACAAGATCATCCAAGGCAAGAGTTATCATATATCTCTTGAATAATTTGGTGAAGGTGATCTGACAGATCTGGGTTTGTTTCCTGATCTTGAGAACCTTGACTCGAGTGTCGGCCGAGTTCCTGATCATAAGCACTTTTTATCTGATGCTTGCTTGTGGAATACATTTGATTGTCTAGAGTCCTAGACCACATTATTTGATCTGATGTGGCAGAGGAGGGGGGTATCAATTGTGAAATGGAGTTATCCCATCAAGAAACGATTTCATTGTATAACTACAAAGAACGAAGAAAGCATTCAACATTATATACACAATTTTGGATTCGCAGAAAAGATTACAAAGATCTTCTGCCAATTGAACCAACTCCGCCAAAAGCCGGACCCGCAGGTCCCTTTTGCTCCGCACATTCTGTACATGCTAATGAGGGTGATGGACAAAGTGAATTGGGAATCAATACATAATTTGAAGACGATGAAAAATATACATTACTTACTGATGTAGGGAACATCAAAAGGTGTGTAAGGGCAAAGGTACCTGTTGGTGCCCTCTGAATTCCAGCATTCTATAAGATTGGAGAAAGAAACGTTTTCAATGGTTAGAAGTTGTTGAGTGAATCCCCAATACCCTGGAGTCATTGAGAGAAGGATAACTGACGATAATTATCTCCTCTTGGAACAAGAGCGTAACGCGAGCATTGTTGCGTACTCGTTCCTGGGGGACCACCGATGAGGATACAACCACTCATTGATACCCAAAGATTACCTATAGATGTCAAGTTGATAAAGCACGAGTTTAGAGAAAGGTTAGGGGTACTCAATTGAAGATCAACAAAGGAAGATCACAATTCACCATCTTTTTCGCACTTGGCCGCCGTGCAGTTCCATTGTTTGTCATCCTTATCACTACACGCTTTTAGAAAGAAAGCGGGCGTTTAGAGCCTGTTTCTTTGGGGGCAAAAGAGGTGAAACCATCGTACTCACTTGCTTCTGATGTTGGCGTTGTGATACCAAATTGCTTTATACACTGGACTGTCGTGAGTTGTTGTGAGAGTGTGAAGGTAAACTGTGAGACACATGTAGCAATTGATAGAGCAACTATAGATTGGTAGGAGAACATGATGATCTATCCAGATGGAAAGGGGATTGAAAATGAAAAGAGATTCGGACAAAGCTGTAGAGCAGGCTTCTCAAGGAATTGGTCGAGTCTTGTCTTTCGCAGCACAACACTATTGCTGGTACTACATACCCTCTTATAAGTCGCGCAAAGTACCTTTACAGAATAGTTAAGTGTAGCTAGGCGCGTGAGTTGTTATGGAAAATTTGTATAGCGTGACAATTTTGTGTGCGGGGTCATTCTTTCATGATGCCATGTTCATCTAAATTCCTTATGGGGAAGAAGATTTTTCCACTGACTCTTACACCGGATAATCTGGTGCGAAGTCTCTAGACTCTTGGGTGGAAAGTTCAATCTCAGGGGGATATATTTTTCTTTTTTCACGCGGCGGAATTTTCATGGTGTAAAAAGTGGGTGTAAATTTTTGTACCCGGGCCCCATGTGCTCTTATAGTCAACAGAATTTGTCTTTGGGTATTGTGACTAAAGCACGCATTGGAGTGCTACTTCCTTAGCTATGCATCCTTCCGCATCTCTCAGATTGTAAATCACCCCACTTCCAAGTCACACTCAATCAACGCTGTGAAAATGTAGCTTTTCCCACCTGTCTCAATCTTCACCATCATTGCCACTGTAGTTTGCTCAAAAAATATGACTTTAAAAAACCTATCTGGTAGGCTCTTCTGCTATATCAAAATCCGTCCAAATCCTGGTCCCTCATCCTTCACTCTCATGACACATTCCTTTTTTTCTTTTTCAGATTGATCTCCCGCCTGTGTACCAATGACTATCAGCATGAGGATCATTTTCTGTCGACTGTTTTCCATTTTTCCTGACCTATCCGGTCTAGTGGAATGGAGGAGAAAAGCCTTACCATGTGTACCTCATTCGACACAGTCGAGTACATAATTGATCCGATGGCGCCGCAGGACCTGGGAGAACACCAAAGTACTAAATTTGTTTGATTGTCTAATCCATTCTACATGGTTGTCTTAGATTATAGTCTGCAAATGAACTTCAATCCATTAAAATCCTTTTACTTTTCCGCCATTCAGCACCCCAGACTATCCAAGAGTTCAGCCGAACGCAGGGCTTAGTCTTGAGATTCATGATAAATCCGGTATGGTTGCTTCATCCAATGGATTTTTGTTGGCCCTCTTACTTTTATCAATGAGGTCATTGAGCTTCCGTGCGGAAATAATCAAATACATGTGCTTGAACCTTTTTCAAATCTTCAATGTGGATTATTTGTGTGTCATCATATAGATACATAAATATATAGCTATGGCAGGCATTGGAGTTAGAGCAAAGATATGTTTTCATGACCATTCAATGGCCCATTTGAATAGCCCTTCAAGCAAAATGAATGATCTGGATAGAAGTAGCATATCGGTCTGAGCCCTGATGACCCCGGGGCCACAATCTTCAATGCCGGTACCGAAGCAGACAAAACCCTACAAAACCTATCAACCTCGTTTTTGACAAAGTTCGCCATCACCAACTTATTCGCTCATGATCATTCTCAGATCAGTTTCCATCTAGACAAGCTTGCACGATGACGTCAAATGTGCTACGATGCTGAGCAATCAGCTTGATACAAGTTCAGAGTTGAAGAGAAACACTATGGTTAGAAATGAACTTAAGTTTTGGACTTTCGCCCAATTCTTTGAAAAACAAACCAATTCAATCTCTCTGTGTATCACATCCGCCTTCATCCCATCCTGAATCCTGATCAACAAAGATGACGTCAGCTCAACGTATTTATCCGTCTTTATTCGGTTCACTTCCTTATTTGCCTAAAGAACAAAATGCATGGGATTTTCTTATTTCAAACTTACCTGAAGGAAGTTTATCAAGTTCTGAAGCTTTCGGTGTGGATGTTTTGACTGTAAGTTTACGTGTGAAAACGAAATTGGATGAGCGTACATACCTTGACTCATCTATCTTATACAAAAAGGGTGTTACTCGAACTTTGTCAGAAACAGTCGAAAGGGTTGAATGTTTGGCTAAAGCTTTAGTAAGGCATGTTAATAAATCTGGGAGTATGAAATCTGTTGGGATCCTATCTCCAAATCATTTGGTATTTTTTCGATTTTCTATTTGACCTGCTCAATGATATTGCACGCTGATATTTAAACCTTTTGATATATGTATAACAGGACTATCCGGTGATCATATATGCCTGTTTGGCTAGTGGGATTCCAGTAGCACCGATCTCAGCAACTGCAAGCGCTCTCGAAACGCGTCATTTATCTAAACTTGGACAATGTGAAATCATTTTTGTTCATCCAAAATGTTTGGCGAATATCAAAGAAGCTGGTTATCCATTCGAAAAAATCGTCCTCATTGAACCTTCGATTGGATGGAATGGTCCTACGTTAGAAGACTTTGTGAAGATGGGTGAAACGATGACTTCGATTAAATCTGGTGGGATCCATCCAACACCTTTACATGAAGTAGCTGTAATCCTTTTTTCGAGCGGTAGTACGGGTAACCCAAAAGGTATGCGTCTTCACTCTCGAAAGACCATTTAATGATCCGCATATACTCACATCCAGTTCCTATCATCGTGCTACTTCTTCATTAAAGCGGTGATGTTGACTCACCGCAACATATGTTCAGCTCTTCAAGCAACTATGATCATGACCAAAGCCGGACTAGAAGCTGTAAGTTGACTGAATATCCCAATTACCAGAAACTAAATATATCATAAACTTTACAATTGAACCAACTTCAAATACTTGCTTCAGATGGCCAAGATAAATCCTAATATGGCCCCTCAATTACCAGCGCGTCCGGTTGTCTTGGTTTTTCTTCCGAGTGAGTGATGTCAATTCAATTGTGCTTTTCATCTTGAATATAGTCAAGTCTTACAAACCCGTCTTGTGTGTCGTCTAATCTTCCAGTGAAGTGAGTTCATCTGATCAAAATCATGACAAATATTAGGTACTGATTGGACTCATCTCCTTGTGTCAGCCATGCATTCGGGTAAGTGCCTTTTCTACACAAAGCATTGCATGGGTTCATTGAATTTTCAACAGATTAATGACAGGAGTACTTCGAGCCATAATTTCCAATGCTGTGGTCTGTATCATGCCTAAGTGGGACTTCCTTCAAGCTATGCAAGCGATACCAAAGTAAGTTTTACGATTCCCTCAAGATGGACTCATGACGCGTATACTTATCAAATCCTGTTTTGTTTTCTTCAGATATAAAGTGACCACATTGGCAATGGTACCTGCGATCGCCACTCAAATCCTTGCACATCCTCAAGTACTACAGACCATTGATCTCTCATCCCTCACCGCAGTTTATGTTGGAGCATCAGCAATTTCTGTACCACAGAAACAAGCACTTCTTAAGTTATTGGCTTCTAGAGGTGCCAGAGGTGGTGATTCTGATGAATCTACTATGCCTAATGGATATGGAATGAGTGAAGTGAGCTTTCATTTATTTTTTATATTATTTACAAGGATATCATGATTCAGATCAGGTTAATCATTGGATCGAAATCAGACTACCGTTAGTATTACTACATGGCCCCTGCAAGGTATGTTTGTTGACCAAGAAGTTCATACTGCCAGTCTCGATGATTCTTATGGCGTATGTTTTTTGTCACGGACGTAGGATACCCATGTGGTCCAGCAAGACCTGGAACAATTGGTGTTCTTTTACCAGGACTCGAGGCTCGGATCATATCTGATGAATCCGACTCGGCTTCAGGCATAGATGCGCCATTGAATACGGCAGGTGAACTTTGGTTAAGAGGACCAATGATCATGAAAGGTTATCTCAATAATGAGATTGAAACTAAGAATGCACTTACGGAAGATGGTTGGTTTAAAACGGGTGATAAAGTCAGTGAAAATCTTTTCTGAAGATCTTTTCACAAAAGATTTCTGATGAATTGAATATTTTTTTTTGGAGAAAACAGATAAGAATGGAATCAGATGGCCAAATGTTTTATGTAGATAGAATCAAAGATACATTTAAAAATCGAGGATTACAAGTAGCACCATCGGAAATCTCAAGTTTGATTTTAAACCGATTTTCAGACTTGATTGCAGATATAGCTGTGATTGGAATCCCATCATCTGAAAGTAAAAGAGATATTGGAGAAGAAGCATGGGTATTTATTGTCTTAACACCTAAAGGACGTGAAAATCATTTGAAAAAACAGATTGGAAAAGAAATTCAAGAGTTAGTTAAAAGAACTTTATCAAAACATAAATGGGTAGCTCAAGTTAGGGTTATGGATGAGTTTCCTAAAGGTCATACTCATAAGGTTTTAGTCAGAGAGATTAGAGATCAGGCTTTAAGATCTATTAACGAAAACAAACTTAAATCAAAGTTGTAGAAAACTTAAAGATTGTACTTTCTTATTCTGATAAACTGACTGTTTTGTGTTCTTGATTATAAGATGAAACATTTAACTTTTTGTACATGATATGAATGAAACAAAAAAAATCAATCTAATAAACTTGTGACAAATTTTGAAGATTATAAGCTTAGGAAATGGTTATACACATCTGCATGTAGGGAAATCATGCAACGGATTAGACAATATCTTTAATAGCCCAACAGAAGCTAGTAGCTCACACTATGAATTTGTTGTTCAAAGGGTTCCAAAATCACCACCCCTTACTGGAGTTGAGATAACCAACCAAGCAACATTCAATAGCACAATTGTCTGATTTGCAATGTTTTTCAGCAGGAACATGTACAAATGCCCAACTACCAAAGATTCAAATGTGATCTACTTGAGGTTTAAAACAGACATTGGTTCTGTTGAAGATTTCATGCCTGTGCTTGATATAGGTGTCTTGTTATAAAGTTCAGTTGCCTTGATGATCAAAAAGCCCCAAAAACATTGTGGTAATCCAAAATCCACAGGAAGAACCCGTGTTTCACCTTGAAAAGTCTGGTTATCCCCCTCTCAATCAAACTGTTCTGCCCATGAAAGTATCCAATGAATAAATTTGTCTCTGTTCTTTGTTGTGCTTCTGAAATGTCTTTTTTCAATTTGGGCACTTGCTTCATTCTTGGATTTGAGGAGATACATGCGCATAAAAGTAGAGTAGATGTCCCTAATCTGCAGCAAGTACTTGGAACCAGAGATTGTTTTTACTGGATTTGGTTAGCTTCTTGGGCAAACCTACAAAATATTGATCTCTAATTAATTTACTTAAAGTTTGATCATTTGAATCACCAAACCGGCTATCCCGAGAGGAAGAATCACCTAACACAGCTGCAGCTTTGATATTGACAGGGCTAGCATGAAGAATCCATTTCCTGAATGATTTTTGCACTGTTGAAACCTTTGAAATATTTCTCCAAAGTTCCATTTATAGTGGGCAAGTTTTCTCTTTGCCTAGCGCATTAGTTCTGGGTTATATGTGTATCATTCACATATACCACCCTGGCTCTATCCGATGTGATTTACCCATCAGATAGAGCGGTACGGGATGGCGGCCGCAGGCCAGCCTGGTTTTGCGTGGGCCGGAAACCTTTCCTGCTCACGCAAAGACCAAGACTGTTTGTTGCTAGACAGATGTGACCTACGGGTTTGTTTGGGCTCTCATCACCTCCCATGTGTCGTGGCTCGCAGCAAGACTCGGCATGGTGAGTTGTCCTAAACTCGATGGGAGCTACGGTCTGTGTTGTTGTTCACTCTCTCTCTTCTCACTCTCTTCCTCTCTCTCTCTCTTTTTTTTTTTTTTTCAACTTAACATTTGGAATGCTTGAACATATTTGGGTCTGGTCTCTCCTGGCTTATGTGGACTAAACCACGGTTTTGATTTGTTTACTTAGAGGGGAACTTGGATGGCTACAAATTTACTTTTTGGACTGTGTTAAAATTAGAAAAACCGACAAAAATCATTTCCCGTCGTCTTAGACGGACTATCTTACTTTGTACTTTTGCAAAGACCAAGACGTTTTTTAAAGTTTGTGTATTTTGGTGCGGCAGATCTCTTTCTACGTAACTCGGAACTTCACCGAAACTTTTCTGGTGGCTTGAACTCTAGGACTCCTGTATGCATTTGTGTATTTCCGGCTGTCAGTCGTGAGTAACCTTTCAAACTCCACTCGCTTGGAAATCCGCTTACCTGTTGCCCTTGACGTGTTTCGATCTGCGTCTCAGACGTTTCTCCTGTCTATTGACCACAGGATATCCTTCGCTTCTCTTAGCTCCTCTGGTGAGTACTTTTTCAAATACGTATCTACCGCCTTGGACTTCCATCTTCCTTGTCTCATGATGCGTTCTTTTTCCCAGCCTAGATTCCAGCGCAGTGATGCTCCGCCCACTCTGAACGAGTGTCCTGACCAGCCTCCCACCTTCACGCCTCCTACACCCCAACGAGTCTCCAATTCGTTTACGAACAATTGTCGCGATAGTGGAACTCTCTGTTTTCCTCTTCCGAAACCGAATAGTGGTTCGTCTGGCTTGTAGGAGGGATTTTGGGTTATCAGCCTTTCCAGCGCTGCGACCGGGTCTAGGATCGATGGTTGCGATGGTATCCGTATGATTTGGACCTCTCCGGGTCTGGCGGTTTTCGCTCTCCATAGGGTAAGTATTGCCACCTTCTTTTCTCCTGAGCCTTCGAAATTCAGGTCGCCAAAAGTTAACATTCCGTCTTTCCTCGTTTGGCGTGTGATCTCTCCTAGCCGCATCATTCCCCAGAACGCTACCAGGGCTGCTGAGGCTACCGCTTCTTGCACGTCTGTCCTTCCGGCATAATCGCATACTAAACCGGTCAACTCTCTAAGCATTATTGGGATCTTCTCGTTGTTCTCGACGTTGTCTGGGTTGCTCGCGGCCTGTTCGAGAGAGTTCTTCTCTTCCTCCCGTTCGGTAGCACATAGTAAGGCGTCTATGATCAGTTGGTCTAGTTGTGGAGGGATCAGTTTTGTCGCCATTTGCCAGGCTCGCAAACCCGCCAGGTATTTGATGATGGTCCCGGATTTGATAAGTCTCTTCGCTTCCGTTTCTCTCTCTGCGCTTGACTGACCCGCCCATACTATGAAACCGTAGATATCTACTGCTTTAACCGGTATGGCCTTCTCCCAATCTTTGTTCTGATCCTCTATGTACTCTTTGAACTTTGCTACTGCGCTGCTGTAACCATTTAGAGTGGAGTCTGCCCAAGCGCCTCCTACCATATGGCTTGCGATTTGCCTCGTTTCGTCATCTTCGATTTGATTCACGGCCTCCTTGAAATTCGGCCGACCTCCGTTTTTGTTGGATCTTGGCATAGCGGTATCGTCAATTGTTCTATGAAATTTTCTAGATCTGAGGGTATATCAACCTGTAATCGGTCTGAATCTAGTCGTCCTGAACGAATTCCTCTAGATAGGTTGTCGGCGTCGTTACTTAGTGAGTCGACTCTCTTTTCCTCCAGGTCACAGTCCAGTTCGACTAGTATCCGCTGAATTTTCCGCCACTCTAAATTGACTGCTACATGTTTTGACTTCAGATTTCTCACCACCCCCTCTGTGGTCGTGTTATCCGTCAGAAACACCAGTCTGCGACCGCGCACTTCACACGTCTTCGCCGCCATTTCTAGACCTAGACGTACTGCGATCGTCTCGGCCCAGGCAATATCTCTCTTGACCCCCAACTCGTCGGTCGAGTTCCAGCCTTCTTTGAGCCTCCACTGAGCCCACTTGCCCCCAACGATTACGCCTATTCCGTGTGTAATCGCCGCGTCGCCGACCCATTCTAGGTCCAACAGGTCTTTTTTGGGGAGAAGTTTGTGGTTGGTGAAGTTTTTCAGGACCCTCTTCCAATCCCAGAGGTCTTCCTTGACGCTTCCCGGCATTTCCCTCAGCGCTTTCTTGTTCACCCAGGTCGCCATCCAGTGATGGACGTTTGGGGTGAAGCACTTCATCTGCGGAAGCATGTAAGTTAGATGGTGCAACCTTCCCGATAGTTTTTCTACCTCCTGTAGCGAGAATGGCCCTGCCTTGCTCAGAGCTTCATCTACCTGTCTCCTTCTCTCCTCCAGCTTCTCCTCGGTCAATCTTACTGACTTGTTTTTTCCATTCCATATGAATCCGATGTATCGTTGTTCCGTTGCGAACTCGGAGTATTTTCCATCGTTGGTTTTGACGCCTAGTTGTGCGCTTGCGTTTACTACGTCCAGCATGGACGTCTTGTTTCCCCTATCTTTCACCTTGACGAACAGATTGTCCTCCACCCAACGGAACACCTCATCGAACTTGAACTCCGCCCTCATCAGCTCTTTCCAGGCGTCAGCTGGTCCGCCAAAACTGCCGCAGCCGGCCACGCCTCCAAAGGACACTCTGGTGTCCAGTATGATGAAACCGTCATTCGTCCTTATCGCCAGGAAACACCACTGACTTGGGTATGTTGGGATTTGGCGGTAAGCCTTTTCCCAATCGAAGATTCCCAGCTCCAACTCCCCTTCCGTCTCGACGAAAAACGTTGCTACTCTTGCGAAATCATCCCAGGTGGTTTTGAACCACGTTTTATCCACGAACGAGTTTACCAAAGGCGTCGCAACGTCGTACTTCGGGAAGGATAAGTCGTTTATCACCCTCTTTGACCCGTCTCCGTTGGTGACGACCCCCATCGGACTGGTTCTGAAAAATCCCAGGTAATGTTGGGCTTCTTCTACCGTGAATGGCCCTCTCATTCTGCCGGAGTCTAATTCCTTTTGGATCTTTTCTGCTATGACTCCACTTCCTTTGACCGATCTTTCGTGATTCGGCGGTGAGTAGTAATCCAGACCTTCTATTGTGTGATCCGGTATCCCCTGGTCGAATCCCTCCTTAAAACCAATGAGGATTTTTTGGTGCTTGTCTAGGATTTTGTGCTTTCGTAGCATCTTTTCCCATTCTACCAGGTTCATCTCGCATGTTACCTCCGTCGGCCATTCCCTGTTTGGTACCCAAACCGGCTTGGGTTCCGTGCTGCGTTTTTCTTGGGCTGCTTTTCCCTGTACGTCTATTTGGATCTCGGTCAGTGTTAATCTCTGTTGCCCCTTCCCACTCGGGCATGCAAGCTTTTTTGGCTTACTTTCTGGGTTCCCTCTTAACTTCTTTTCCGCAGTCGGTTTTCCCTGCTCGGCTTGTGCGTCCACGACCCCTAACCTGGCCGCGTGGCTTTTCTGTTCGGTCTCCTCATGGTCCTGATCATCTTCCGTGTCACTGTATTCAATGGATGGACAACATAAGTGTTCTGTCTCAATTATTGGACGATTTTTGGATGGGTTGGTCTTTTTTGACACTGCCTATCCTCTCCTTGGCACTTCATATTTGCTCAATCTAGCGCGTGCGGTACGGGAGTACCCGGGGAACGAGCCGAAACAGCTTTTTAAAAAAGGCTCAGGGGCTCTCTTCTGTCCCAAAAGGCTCGGGGGCTCTGGTGTGCTAGGTGTGTCTAGCATCTCTTTTTGGGTTCAAAGAGGGAAACAAAATCTTTTTTATTAAAAAACATCATGTGATGATTCGTAGCAACAACGAAAACCATTTCTGCTCTTGATATGTAGATTTTGGATTCTTCTACATAGGTATGGGTCATTTGCTGCCCGTTTTCCTCAACTTCATTCTTTGCTGCCACCTCCCAGGCTCTAAAGATATGTCTCTGTATGCCTCTTCTCGGCTCGCGCCATGTTTACGACTCTCTGGGTATGATATTGCTGAGGAGCCAGTTTTTTAGGAGAGGTTCGTGTATACGAAAAAATTTTGGGATGCAGAGATGGAAACAAGGGGGGAGAGAAAGGGAAACAGGTGGGGACTTTTTTAAAAGGATGAAAAAAGGGAGGTGGACTCAAGAAAAACTTGGAGGAACCGAATAGGTAGAAGACTTTGGCCGTGCCCGACTTACCATTTGTTGGTGTTGTTTCTGTGAACTATGGCTAACGCACCACCTTGACCCCCGCTCCCGCTTGCATTCGGTTTCGGTACAATAGCGAGTTGATTGTTCGGTTCGCTCGGGCCTGCGATGGTGTTTCCTTGGTTAAAACCTTGGTTCCCGCCGCTTGCATAGGGGTACGAGCTGTAAGGGGTGTAGGGCTGGTATTGGAACTGAGGTTGGGTGTGGTATTGGCCCGTGAAAGGTTGGAAACCGAAATTGGCTTGTCCCTTGGCATAAGGATGTCCACTTCCATGAGTGTTTTCGCGGTCTCTATAGCTTTGGCGATCATTTCGATTGTTGTTCTTATGGTACTTGGCTTTGCCTCTTTTTCCTCCGTGATGATCCTCACCTCTGTTGTTTCTCCAACTTCCTCCAGACCCGTTTCCGTTCTGATTTGCAGCCGCAAATTCCCTCTTGATCAAACTCCGCTCTTTCGCGCTCGAGGGTTCTGGTGTCTCTGCTACTGCTACATACGGGTTTTCGGCGTGGCTACGTTCTCCTGAAGAGTCAACCTTGTCTTTTGCTGCTCTGAGGATATCCTCGTGTAAGACTCCCGCATTACTCATCACACGCTTTCCTGCTATCAACCTGAATTGCATTACTAACTTCCTGACTTTGATGCAATACCGTAGAGCTATCATCCAGCAGGACGTGGACCGTCTTATGTCGATGACGTTTTGCCTGTGCTTCCTGAAGTTCTCCGCACATTTCGGCATGTTGTAGTATTCTTCTACGTAGCGGATGAATAAATCCATGTGGTCTAGCCATTCGCCATAGGACAGGAGTAGTTCGTCTTTGGGTTGCAAACCCGAGTACGTCATTGTGTCGTCCCCCTCCTGTAGCTCTTTCACCGTTTTCACCTTCCTCTGGTTCGCCTTTTCACAGTCGCGGTCGATCCAGTCCAGGTTGAACACCGTTAATGGCACATATGCCTTCAATTTGGTCATCTTCTGGTGGAAACAGGGTGATAATTTCAAGAGACTGTTGTTTCGGAGTTGCTGGTCATCAACGTAGGTTATCTCCTCTTCCGGATTTGCCACTTCGTCGCCTTCCTTCTCTACACTTTTCCCTTTTGACTTGATAGCGTTTTCGGGCACGACAGGGTCTGCAACAGTTCGTACTGGGGTGGGTTCGACTAGTTGGGGGGCGCGCTCGACTTGTTGGGTCTCGGGATTGTTAAGCGTCATTTTGGGAACATTTGTCGCCCCTTGGTCTAGGTTACGAATCTTCTTGGTTGACCCCAGGACCGCGCCCGTCCTGTTCTGTTCCTCGTCTACGATCAGAGACTCTGTTCGTGGTCTCCTCTTACTTGCTTGAATGGCTGTTCATTTGGTCTTTCAGCCTCTTTCCATTTCCGCCTCCGGATCGAAAGGTATTTGTCCGTACATAGCTTCGTAAGCCTGGAGCATCGTTTTGCCGAGCATGACTTTGTTCCGGTTGAACGCGTCTACGATGGTGAGCCACCATTGATTTCGGCTTTCTAGATGCGTATCTACGAAACCAAGCGTATTTGGGTTTGTTTAAAGTCAGATTCACTTCTTGACTCAAAACTTCTTTGGTCCTTTTCCGAGGACTTTTTAGATAGGGTTTCTTAGGGCGTGATTTATTTTCTTCCTCTGATGGTCTCGGCTACGGCCGTTGGGAGTCTCATCCTCTCCTGACCAAGGGTGAAAATACTGCCCGCTGCCGCCTGGATTTAGCTCCAGCTGCCTCAGCTTCCGCTGGAATGATCTTTATTTTGATCATATAAGTGCGATGATTTCCTCGTCCTGTTGCTTCCAGCTAGTGGCAGAGACGGGTCCTCGAATAGAATGAGGAAACCGGGATGTAGCTCCCTTCGGCCTTGGCGTTTGCCGGACAGCTCTTTCGAGCCTGCACTTTTTTTGGGATGTGTGTTGATTTCAAAGGGGGGAGTGGAGAGAGAGATAGGGGTCTAGAGTGTAGCTGCAAGCTTGTGTGTGTCGTACTAGTGGGATGGGAGATGAGAGCTCGGTGGAGAACGTGGGATTTGGAAACGAGGGCTTGGTGGAGAACTGATTTCTAGCGGAAGGTATGTGGTTTTCCAAGAATTGAAAACTGTCTGTGAACTTACCACTGATGTTTGCCTCGTCTGCATCCCCTTCTGCTTCACTCAGATCACTACTGGCTTCAGTTGAATCTTTTTCCATCCTTACTGGGCCGAATGGGCAGATTAAACCAGCTACGTTCCTACTGCTTGGCATTCCCGAATTGGTTGGTGCTGCACTTGCTCCTGACTCCTGTTCGTGGTTGTTCACGAATTCTATCTCTCCTTCTGCTTCAGGTTCGCTTTCTCCTGCTTCGTCATTTTCTGCCTGGTCGTTCGCAGTCTCTTGACGATTTTCTCCGTTGCGGTTCCTAGACTTGCTTCTGAGTCGAGGACCTGACTCCCCGTTTCGTACTGCCTCCTCAGCTCTCCTTCTTGATTCCGCGAGTTCTTCTAGAAAGGTTACCATTTCCGCGTTTTCTTTTTGGAGTTTCCTTCTTCAAAAAATTCGATAATCTATCTTTGTTCTAGTGGTACCTAAAGTTATTTGTTGATAATAACAGATATTTTCGAGAACTGAAATGCTGAAACTGGAATTGGATGTGCTGAGTTCTGCTGTTCTGAGAGTGATCGTGGGAGATATTCTTTTTCTCTCTCTGGGGAGAGAGAAAAACTCTTTTCGCACGCCACGTTGTACGTGCTATTAGCATATGCTCGTAGCTGTTCCAACGAGCACCACAGGCATGGAACTCACGGCAAAGTCGTGCCTTGGTTTGCCGCACCAATCAATTCCATTTTTTTAATTTCTGAATCTGATACCATCTTCCTCTAGTTGAAATCTGGAAAGAAGATGGTTGTACAAAGTCTTGCAAAAATAAACATTTTCCACATCCAAAAACTCACAATTAGCCTTACTGTACAGTTGTTTTGGAAAACAAATGTTCCTGCTATTTATTTTTGACTTTTCATTTTTCATATTTGCGGTTTTCAATTTGGTAGAAAGTGCACAAAAATGGTTGATGAAGTGGCCTCAGTTTGAATTGCACCGCTTGCCTGGAGCCAGCTTCAGCGCTCAATTCTGCATAAATAACCCAGATGGGCAAAATCTCAATTAACCCGGGATATAAAACAGATAGATAACTTCTTTTTCTTTGGGTCACAAGTTTAAGCTATAGTCTAGAGGTTTTCAAGGTGGCCAAGTAAAGATATGCTCATGCACAAGAATATCTCATGTGATTTGGACTTTGCACTGGTCTCTCCATGTGAGCATTACTTTTGACTCAGTAAAGATTTGTGTGCGGCAAAGATTTGTGATTTTTGAGAATAGACATCGATAACAAACCGATTATTGAAGGTCATGGTTTTCTTTTTGATTGCGTCCTTTTGTAAGGTTGTAAGCATGTGATTCGCAATGAAGCCTCATGGCATGCTTCCCATGCAAGTGAGTACATAGGGTCGTCAAATGGATGGAAACAGTTGAATGAAAAGGGTCTGGTCTTTGTCTCTGAGAAATCAGTTGAGCCACGAATTTCATAAAATCCATGGGAGTTGGTAATTTGGTATAACCGTAACCTAGGTATTATGTGATATCTGGCATGTACATAGAGAGAATTACATAAAGAAAAGTGGTCAACTTCGGAAGGTCAGAAACTGCCACGTCGTCGTACTAAATTATTACTCGACTTCATTCAGTTCTTCACTTGAAAATCAAATCAACTCATCCCATCTCTCCTCTCCATCCTTAACCTTTTCCATTCTCAACAAAACATCATCTCACTTAGTTTCTTCTCACGATCATCCATTGAACCTTTTATACTCTCAGTTTACATCTATCAAACCTCTCTATTACTCCTACCCTTGAAGGGCTACATAAAAATGCGATCATTCAGTTTGCTATCAGCCTTTGTGGCTTTAGCTGTTTGCACTGTTCGTGCTGATTCAGCTATTGATGACAGTGAGGTGATTGATTTGAAAGCCGAGACTTTCACATCTACCGTCGATGCTGCACCTCTTATTTTGGTCGAATTCAGTAAGTATCTCTTTTCTTACTCTTCATCATCTCTTCATTTCTCGATCACTTTCAACGTCTCATCTTCTGATCGGTGTTTTGTTTTGTTTCACCTTTTCACAGTGGCCCCTTGGTTTGTCTATCTTTCAAAGTCTCTGTCTTTCACATTTGTTGTCTAACTTGATCCTTCTTCATTGCGCAGGTGTGGACATTGTAAAGCATTGGCACCATTTGTTAGTACCCTTATTACTTTCTTTTGCTTTCCACTCAATTCAATACGACAATCTCAACTAATTGTAATTGTCTCATAATAGTACGCAGAAGCTGCCATTGCCTTGAAACCCAAAGCCATCAAATTGGCCAAGGTCGATTGTACAGCCGAGACCACTCTTTGTTCTGAACAGGGTGTAACAGGTTATCCGTAAGTAAAACCCTTGGTTTTCATTTCATTGTGAATCGGCACTTTGCTAATGATCTGTTGGGTTTGAATATGACATTTGTAGAACTTTGAAGCTATTCAACAAAGGAGTAGTATCAGATTACAATGGACCAAGAACGACTGACGGTATTGTTTCTTACATGATCAAGTAAGTGCTTCGTGTTAGAATCAAGTGCGATAACAAATCATTGACTAGGATCTTCGTTTCTTCTACCTTTCTAGACGATCCCTTCCCGTTGTCTCGTACCTTTCCCCAACGAACCATACCGAATTTTCTTCCTCGGACAAAGTGGTGGTTATCGCCTACCTCGATTCTGCCGACACAGCCAATTTGGAAGTTTTCCAGTCATTTGCTGAAGGTCATCGAGATGACTATGCCTTTGGATGGACTCACCAAATCTCAGAGATCAAGGAAGTCAAAGATGTTAAGAAGCCAACTGTTGTTGTTTGGAAAAAGTTTGACGAAGGCCGAAATGACCAACACGCTGAGAAATTCACGGCTGAGAGCTTGAAGGAATTTGTTAAAACCAACTCTGTACCTCTTCTCGATGAGGTCTCACCTAGCAACTTCCAAACATACGCCGAAGCTGGTATCCCACTCGCTTACGTCTTTATCGAATCCAACAACCCACACCGAGAATCACTGGTCAAATCTCTTGAACCAGTTGCTCGTGAACACAAGGGCAAGATTAACTTTGTCTGGATCGATGCTACCAAATTCGCCGATCACGCCAAGTCTCTCAACTTACAAGACACCAACTGGCCAGCATTTGCTATTCAAAACATTGATGCTCAAACCAAGTTTCCTCTCGACCAGAAGAAGACTGTCGATCTTGCTACCGTTTCTCAGTTCACCAAGGACTTCGTAGCTGGTAAACTTGTACCAAGTCTTAAGAGTGCACCTGCTCCCAAGAAACAAGGTCCTGGATCTCACATCTTGGTCACCGATGAGTATGACTCGACTGTTTACGGTAATGACAACAAGAAAGATGTTTTCGTTGAATTCTGTAAGCATTTAGTTTCGTTTCATTCTGAATACTCGTGGTGGCAATTTTTGACTTTTTCTCTTTATTCCTATAGACGCTCCTTGGTGTGGACACTGCAAGAAATTGGCACCTACCTGGGACAACCTCGCCCACAGTTTCAAAGGCTCTAAGAATATGTTGATCGCCAAGTAAGTCGAGTCTCATTTATACATATGATTGTCTATCATGATCTAACCTGTGTGATTTTAGAATGGATGCTACAGAAAATGATGTACCACCTTCAACTGGTATCAAGATTGAAGGTTTCCCTACCTTGATGTTCAAGAAGGCCGGATCAAAGGAATACATCACTTTCGAAGGTGAACGAAACCTTGATGGATTGATTGAGTTTGTTGAGAAACATACTGAACACAAAGCTGTGAAGGTTGAAATTGCCTCTGATGAGGAAGGTGAACCTGCTAACCAAGTTGTACTTGATGATGAATCAAGTGAGGAGGCAGAAGATAAAGATGCTGAACATGATGAACTGTAGAGGATCGTTAGACTTAGTACAGTTTCAAAAGTTCAATGTTTAGAGAGTTTTCTACTTGATTTTTTTTTTGCTTTGCATTGCACTTTCTTTTGTCTCTCTGTTCATGAGTAACGTTTTTGTTAAATGTGGAAGAAGATGATTGATTTTTTTTTCAAAAAAAAAACGTTGTGGGTTAACTTGAGTGAGGAATGTCATTTGTTTGAAATAGAGTTTTTTGGTCAGTTTCTATTTCCTAAAAGAACACCACGAAAATGACTTTGGAATCGACAAAAGAAAAGAAAGATCTTTTTGGAATCGGTTGCTTGCAATATATGTTTGTAGTTTCAATGATGCATTTGTAGCGATTAAGTCACTGTGACCTTTACATCTAACTCTCGACACGGTTCATCAAACTTATCTAAACCAAGTACCACGTACCCCGTCGCGCCAGCGAGGAACTTGTGCACGGTGCACCGTCTCAAATTTTAAGCGTGAGGTCAGAGAGAGTGCGCGGAGAGTGACGGATTAAGTTTGAAACTCATCTCCCTTGCTCACTTTTCTGGCTTGACAACCCACAATGAGCTGATAATGAGATATGTGCACACCCCTCCCATCTTCAATGGGCCTAAGCTTAACTAAGCCTCTCTTCTGGTGCGGCCACGTCCGCTGTCTAAGAGGGACTGAGGGCTAATGCCCCCCCTGAGACCAGTAGGATTTTCAAGCACTTCTTCAAGCTCTTTCACTTCATCTCACTTCCAGCTTACTAAACTGTTAAGCCTTGATCTGTCTTAAAACCAGGTATAGGACCCATTGCCAATTGTTCCCGTTGATGGCTTGATCCTTGTGTTACTGTTTAAATTGATCAAATCCCTCTAATTTTGAAGTCACAGACTGAAGTGAGCAAATGAACTTGCCTGTGCTATCTAAGATTTATGTTGAGCTTTTTGGTGGAAGACAATGTCAATGCTCCAGAGGTTTTTTCAGGTTTTTTCCCCAAATTATAAATACATATATAGTTTGATTCAAATACATGTCAGTTGAGTTTGTATCACGATTTCACTCTCTTGATCTTGTTTGTGTTTCCTTTAGATTGAAAAGCCCAATCAAGAATGTATTGAATGTTTGTAGTTCAATCTAAACAGAGAATGGGAAAAACATATCCTTTTTTGGGGGAATAGATACATTATGACTGGTTTCCTGGAATTATCTTTGTGATCAAGACTGTAGTGTATATTGAATTTGAATGGAAAGAGAAGGTTTGTTCTTTGGATTGTTTTTGACAAGAATTGTAAAAGTTAGCATGTCTGTGTGATGAGGTGGTTTAGTGGTGTGTAGATGTGAACCAGTGGATTTGGTTCCAATTTCTAGATAGGAATCAGTTGAGGCATGGTGGCCAGGGTCAGTTGAGTTACTCTAGGTTTGACCCTGGGGCCTGGATTGCAAAAGGGCTGACATGGGACTTGAGAGAAATCTACAGAGTAATATGGGCAGCCACACTTGGCTCTGAACTAATCCACTGGAGTGCTCACCTACTCTTTGTTGAGAGAAAGTGAATGAAATGACAATGTACCTTGTGAAAATTGACCCTATGTTTGACAAAAGGGTGGTGGGCAGGAAACAAAGAAATGATTGGAAAGATACTGGTTCAATAACAATTGGAACTGCTGTGGACTGAAGGGGACTATAATAGATGTATATGGTTCATAATGTCAAAACTGAATGTACTGATAGGATAATCATTTTGTGATATTGCTGCTTGACAAATTTTGAAAATGAGAGACAAAATGAAAACAAGCTACAATGAAAGAAATGAGAAAAGATGAAAAGTCAGGCTCAAACAGGCTGATTGGGGGATCCTGTTAAATTGCCATTTTTAGTTGCAGATATTCTTTGAGAAGAGCTTTTGCTCTGCCTTGCTTGCATATCCCTTAGCCTCTCACAGATCCCACTGTGTTGATACTAGATAACAACTACAAGACTGTGTTGTAGCCAATGGCCATGGGTTTTTGAGTGTCCTTACCAAGATTCTTGCCCTGATAAATTTGGATCACATGTAACATGAGAAGAATCAATCAATTTAGATGAGTCAAAAGATATCAAATACATAATGAATAGACTCAACCTGATATCCAAAACACTGGTCAATTCCTCACATTCATATTACACAGTAAGGATCCCTGTGATAGAGTTGCTGTGATGGAATGCATTCCACAGGGAACCCCAAATATTCTTCTGATCCTTGAATCTTTGTTCTTAAGGTATTGTTCCAAAAACTCAAAAGATTCAGGACAGCTTTCTTTGGTGTATAATGCCTGTCTTGTATGTGAATGTTGAACATCAATGTAGGATTGTCTAGTATGATCGAATCAGATGTGTCTATCTGTCCAAAAAGAAAGAGATCTGGATGGTTTTTGGGTTGGAAATCTATCTCTAGCCATCTAGAATAGATTTTGTTGAGAAATTCCCATGCATCCATAAGCAAAACCTTAATTTGTTCCTCAGATAGTTCTTTCTTGTAAAAATTCCTGATTGCGCCCATATATGAAACAGTGATCTTGTACTGTGCAAAGCTGACTGCTTGAACAATCAAATTTATATTGGATGAATGTATTTTGATAGGTATATTGGCTGCAACATCATTGAGACTTTCATGAAAACTATTGTGATTGCTTTCCTTGTAACAAGATATTAGATCATGGATCAGCTTTTCAAAAAAGATGTGGACATGCTTGCACATCTGTCTGCCAATGCCTGTGTGGAACTGTGCTGCATCAGAAATGAGTAGAGGCTTCCTTTGTGATAAATCTTCTGCACTTCCAAGTGCAAGCTGCAACTTTCTTGAAAATTGATCTGCTCCCCAGAATACATCATTCCTGATTCCACTCCTTGAATACAATCCACCTTCTGTTGAACTAACATCAAGTTTGTATACTTCCATCAATATCTCCAAGTTGATGTTTTTTGGAATTCTTTTGTTCCCTTCTTTTATGGACCAGGTATGTGCAAGATACCAGATCAATGTGAATGGTAATGAATCCACAGATCTGATGCCTTTCAGATATTTTAGCTGCCAACCAGGGATCATAATATCACACTCTGTCTGAAATCTTGTCAGCTTCCCAAATTCAAAATCTTGAGGTTCTGCAATCTTCCAATGAGCAAAAAGATTTTGCATGTACCTCCAACCATCATCTAGTAGATCCTGGAGTTTATCCTTCCCACTTCCATCATACTCAAACGCTTTGAGAATACCAAGAAAACTCATCACAATCCCATGACATGCATTCCTCAGTGCATAACTTAAAGCTTTGATTTCAGAATTGTCTTTACATTTTACACTTATTCTCTTGTATATGTCATGGAACCAATCAAATATCTCATAGCAAAGAGTAAATGATCTGTTCACATTCATTATTCCAATACTTTGGGACAGCTTAAAGTTATCCTTCATTGTAGGTATATGGTATTGATCTTCCCCATCCAAATGCTTGATCAATGATGATGATCTATATCTCCCAGAAGTTTTTGTTGTCTTGGAAGTGTGAAGATTATCTTCAGCAAGATGACTTGAGCTTTCATTTGTATTTTTAAGGTCACCCTTTAGATTATTTCTGCTTTTCTTATTAGATATCTTTGACAATTTGGCGCTTGTGTTGGCCCATTTCCTCTTGCTTTGATCTAAATTCAGCTCATCATCTATCCTAAATGTGTTCTGATTTGTCATATATGATTCATCTCCATTTGTGGGATTTTTCATGTAAGAATAGCCATTGAGTGCCGCAGTAAAATCATCCATTGACACAACAGCTTGGGGTCCTGCTGTAACTGAAGTGTCTTGAAGATGTGATTTTGATGGATTTTGATTTATATCCTTCTTGTCAGTGGGAATCAAAAGATCTTTTAAGTTTTTCTTACTGTTCAATTTCACATTATTTCCTATGGTTACTGTGTTAGGAATATAACCTGCTGGCCAGTGGCCGCCCTTTAAGTATGAACTGCTATACAGATCTGGACAGATATCTTCAAGCCAGGACTCCTCACGTGGTTCAAGTGATTCATAATCTACATAATGGTTGGAGTTAATTCCTGTTGGTATTTCAATCTCATGGGGATGTATTCCATGATCAAAAATGACATTGTTTGTTGAGCTTTCCTCTTGTAAGCCATGTCCATGTTGTACATAATCCAAGTATGGCTGGGCATATATAATTGGTCCATTGTGAGCTGAGCCTGTATGGAGATTCTCTATTGGGCCTCTCAAGAGAGTTTCATGTTGATCGCCAGAAAAGGACTCTGTCAAAGATCCTGGGTTGCTGTTTGAGCTTGCCATATTTCCCTGTCTAATCTCTTGATATAATGGAATGACTTCTCTCTGGAGCAACATATCCTCTTGAGATGCTTCAAGATGTTCAACAGGTTCACTTGAGCCAATATTGCCGAAGGAGTTTGAATCATATGATTGAAGATGCATTTGGATGCTCTCAGGCCCTGAGGGGAAAACATCATAAGGTGTGTAAACATGAGTATTCTCTTCTTCTGTTAAAGAGGGTTGACCTGTGGGGTAAATGCTTGGAAAATGGGCTAGATTTCTTTGAGGATGTATATTGTTGAAAGTGCTTTCATATGTCCTGTAATTCCCAAACCCATTATATTCCATTTGTGGAAGGTGTTGCCCTTGTTGTGAGGTGTACATACTAGAAAGTCCAGATGTAATTTGATGTGGGTTCTTTGGTGTCTTTCTCATCGAACCTTCCATTCTAGGGTTAAAATCTATCAATTGGATGTTTCCTTGATCAAATCCTCCTTTGCCATCACAGTGATGTTGATGATGGCCTATTTCTTGATTTTGTCCAAAGGTAGATGGACCTTGCTGAAAACTTTGTCTAGAAGAAGGGTTTTTGGATGCTTCTATTCCAAATGCTGGAGTAAGATCAGGATGAGAATTTTGCACTCCTGGTAATTCATGTCTATATGATTGAAGTCCTGAACAGCTTTGAAAATTCCATAATCCTAAGATGATGATTGAAAAGAGTTTTGCTGGCCCCAAACAAAGCATGGTGACAGTGTATATGTAGGAGATCATGAGTGAATTATGGCTCAATAAGATAGTGTTGCGATCAAGACACCATTCTTTTTATGTTATAACCTACATATGAATCCAATGATCCAAAACATTTGACCAAGACGTGTAATCCAATATTTATTTCAGACATTTATACAATGCGACCAGTCCTGACCAGTCCGTTAGCCGAGTATGATATATAAACATTTGAAGGCTCAGATCTGGTTTTACCCACCGGTGTTTTACCGGAGTTTGAAACCCACAGATGTTGAGCCCAAGTGGACCATAAAAAATACAAAAATAATCATCAAGCGCAGCGGATGAGTCTTGCGCTTCTAGTTCTTTACCATACATCAGCGCACATGCACGCATGCATCCAGATTTTTACATATCACATATGTACCTGAAAAAGGAAGCCATGCCCCCTTGAAAAACAAGCTGGAATGAGTTTTGAATGTTAGATCAAGCAAAATAGTACCAGATTCTACACTGGACTTTCTTCCAAAGGCAATCAGGAGTTGGCTCGAGGGTATATCCACATATTTTTTGATCCCTCAGATAAATTAGGATGGACGTGGAGTTACCAAGCCTGTCCGATCTACATGATCCTGATGAGAGACTCTAGATCAATTTTCTTGCTGACTTACGCATTCTAGGGATAAAAAAATGGGCTTCCTCTGCCACTTTGAGGGAAGTTTTCAGGTAGTTTATCACAGGCGGCTGTTATGGACCTCACCAGGAGTGTTCGATTTTCTGTTCCAAGATAGCGTCTCCTATGATATACCTGACACATTTGCAAGTTCCATCTCGAGACAGTAACATACAAGATACAAACTAAATACAAACTATCTACGAATATCAGTACGTGGCGATCTCAATGTTCAACTTTGTCAGGATGTGAAAAGGGATGCATGTCCTAACGCTCTTCATGAAGCTTGGGCCAGGTCGATCATCTCAATAATTTTGGGACTTCCATCACTTTACAGCCTCAGTTGGGCTTTTCTGGTCGACTGAAAATTTTCATCGGGTGGGTAGTTTTGCATGTGTACCGTGACTTCGCTTACTGGATGTCACTCGATTCGCGTGGGTTTTTGACGCTCATTTGCCAATTTACGTACATGATCCTTTCCTTGCTCAGGTATGTGGTTTAGATCCGGTAGTCGAGCGATTGGCTTGACCGTAATGCTTTGTGCGGAAAAGAGGCCTGTGTGTGGATCAACCGACATTTCAGATTGACGACAGCCGATTTATGAAGGTATGGCCATAAGGCTCTTGGTGGCCTCAATCGCTAACGCTAGGGTTTACAGTAGGCTAGAACTATGGCAGAACCTCCCGTTGTAATAGGCCACCAAATATCACGGCTTCCCTCCCCAGATGCCAAATTTTACGCCCAGCCTCGGGGACTTTTGTTTTTCGTGTGTATTATCCTCGAGTCAGGACCGCGCGAAGTACCTATGGGTAGTGATCATTCTTCAAACTGAAATATGAGGCAGCCGTGTGTGTCATGAGAAAAAGAGCGCTCCAGCTGAGCCTCTTCTTGCGGCCAAAACCCACCATACTTCATGGTCTCACTGGTAGTTTTTCGTAGTAAAGTCCTTGATTTCGACCAACATACCATAGTCTGGCAGTCGTAAATATCGCACATCGGATTCGTCGCCCAGCAGTCGATCGAGCTACTGATGAACAGAATCTTTTGTGTCAGGCCTCAGATCATCTCTGCATATATGTTTAGTAGCAAGGTATATTATCTTCAGACTAGGAGAAACAAAATTGCGCGAGAGTTGTTTTTCACAATCGAATCTCTTAGCTGGCAGTGTCTTCACTTTCCAGCACACACTCTGGTTTATGTGATTGGGGGGCAGATATTGCTCAAGAGGACGTCGAGTATGTATGCTTCCTCCGCAGACTCTTCACGCGTTTGAGATTCTCATTCTATAGGGCCTGTAAATTAATTCTTCACGATCGAATCATATCAGAGATTACTTCAAAGACCGAATAAGAGTTATCATGCATTTTTTCGACTGAGAGTGCTTTTACATGCCGTCAAACCCATAGTCCTAATCACGCAAGTTCCGCTTATGTCGTTTCCCCTCATTCACTGTGGATACTACTTGATGTGAATGTGACCAACGGGGTGTTCACGTGTGAGGATTCCCTTGCACTCAGAAATTAGACAAAAGATTCCCTACTGCCAGTGCTACCGTAGACTATGTACAATTACAGGACTAATATTCTTACATCTGAGGAGCCAAAATTTATGGGTTAGATGAGAGCTCCCGTTTGATGTGCTGCATAATCCTAGGTGATGAGAGTGCAAGCCATGGTTTTTCCATTGCTCAGGTGCAGCGACATTGCTTATCAGACACAGATGACTTGCGACATGTGGCACCAGATCTACCGTCATTGCTGGAACAATGCTGCTTACCACTGAGTTATCAGGTGATGCTCAAGAATATTGTCGTGGGCAAGCTCCGCAATCCATCTCATGAGTGAATGGGGGTGAATGATAGGGGTTCGGTGATTCTTCAATTGTGGGATGCTGTATATATGGTAAGGAAACTCGAATACCCATTTCATCCGAGGGAGACGGCCTCATGTAAGCAGGGAGTCAGAGAGAAGAATTTGTGGTTTGCTAGGATGTCAAGCACAGTGGTATTCATCAGAATCGATGTTTGAGATTCAAGGCTGCAGGAGTATACGACGGGGCGATAGGCAGGGCAGAGATGGTGATTGATGAACAAGCTGGCGCGATGTCAAGAAAAACTCAGAAGAGAAAGCAAGGTTGACGGAGTTCTCTGACGACAATTGTCAGGTCTCGATAGGGTCTCTGTTTGAGAGTCTGATTGATTGTTGATTTGAAAATCCTATTGCATTATCTGATTACTTACCTTCAGACACACCCGTTTACTCTTGGGCTGAGAGTTGAGAAGACTGGACGGGTGAGATGTAACAGAGTACAAATTGAAGGAATGACATGAAGTAGCAATGGTTCATAAGAAGGAGAAGGCAGAGTGAAAACAGCGTACAGCCAGGTTGAGACGGGATGCAAGAAAGAGGGAGAAAAAAAGCCTTGGAACGATTGAGTTGAGCCTATCCCTGACCACAGATGACCCACCGAGTTACGTGCTACCGTGAATACACAAATTAAAAAAACAAAGCTCGGTAGAGTCAACGCCAACCCAATGCCGACTGCAGACGTGTTCCGAGTCGCGAGCTACCAGAGCAATTGGGGAGAATCCTGAGACGCGGTATAGGAGGGAATAATTCCTTCACTATCCTTCTCAATGGATCTCTCAAAACGTCTATCGATTGCTCTAAAGTGTTGAACTTCTTTCATCTCAGTGTTTACTCAGGATTCATACTCTCACTCTCACTCTCGCTCAATCGACTTTGTTCAAATCCAATCGATTCCCGATTGGTATCCTCCTCATTTCGGCCAACGACACTTGGATCATCACACTCTAGTCTTTTTCCTTGAAACCTGCTCATTTGCTTACCCGAGCCCAGGAGGAACTGAAGGCCGTCGCAGGTTGTGATAAGTCAACTTCTTAGCTTGCTGTCTGTCGTCGTGCGTCATCCTAGTCCTTCAATTTATTCCAGGTTTTCATATTCAAACCAGTTTATCACCTCTTGCTCCTTAGTGTCACAACCCCTTTGCAAGCTAAAGCTACTTCACACACTCCTTTCAACTTTCGTTCTTCGTCAGCCAGAAGCCCCTCGTCCTCCTCTCGCTCGCAATAAGGCGCAAGCGTGGTTTGTTTTCAAGGCATTTGCGGCTGATTCGAACCAATTCAGCCACCTCTTCTAAAAGTGCCCTTAGTCTTCAGTCTATCATCCAGTCTTCGCGACCTCCCCTCGATTTCAGCATTTCTCGCAAGCCTATTCGCCAACTTCAGTCAGTATCCAAGCAACTAGGACAAAGTAGGACACTTCTGCTGTTTTATGGTGCCTCAGTCTTCTTGCCTAGCTCAGTAAGTGTGTCCGTTTCCGTCTTCCGAGTCTCCTCTCAATTGCCGCCCCTTGGTTTGCATCATTTCAGCCTTATATGCCTCCCAATGCATGCATAGTTTGCATCTACATAGACGCTCAACAAAAGTAATGAGGATGCGCTTGTGAGCCCCTATGAGGCACTAAAAATGATAGCGGGGCTGAAGCAATCAAACTACACATTTGTTTTTCAATGACTTATCCTACGAGACTTGTCTATCTGTTGGCTTTTGACGCATAGTCACATTATCTTTGGCTCCTGACCAAGCCAGAAGAGTGATAGCCCCAGCACTAACGACCCTTTCATCATATACTTTCCTGTTCCCTCTTTGACTAAGCTGCTCGATCCCTCCTATGTACTTATAATTTGCGTCTAATTCTTCTTCAAAATACTTTAGCTTGGCTCCTATCCCTCTCTGAGCTTGATCATCTTGGGAGTACCATCCAACGGTCTATCCGGGTTGCATCGAACGCCAAACTACTAGTTCGATTGGAGACCCCCGAGTCGTATACTATCAAATGTCACATCAATCCAAACTGGATATGCAGCAACACGAAGCTTTCTTTTCTTTTACTGTTCCAGCTAACGATTCTTCAGCCCCCGAGCCTCGGACGGATGATCACAACATCACTCCAGTTGCTCCAAAGAACGAATCCAACGAGGGCCAATGTGAACTGGGAATTGTCACGCAAACAGATCGCCCAGCTTTGCCTAGGACACCATCTGGATCAATATCCCCCGCAACCTTAGGGGACCGTCCCGGTACCGCCAATCAGTATCCCTTTACCTTCCCATCTACCTCGAACAGCGACGTCAAAGAGCGAACCTCCATTGGAGGTACGGAGGATGTGAGCCCAGTTTCGGGTACATCAACAGGCTTCCCGACGGATGAAGAGAACGTTCGTCGGAACAGTCGCCAGGGTCTCACTATCCTTACCGGTGCCGCTCCGGCGAAGCTGAGCCAACGAGCCTGTTTATTGGCTGCAGGCCCATCTCCGTTGGGTATGGCAAACCCAGAGAGCCCAGCAGAGCGATCAGGCGATTACCCTAGCCATGGTCCGTCCTTCTGTGGCTCTCAATACACCGACATCATCCCACAAACTGATCACTATTATGTTCGTCCGAATAGACATCGGAACCCATAATACAAGACCCATGACCGCTCCTGGTGCTGGATGGGCCGCCGGAAATTATAACCATGGCTATGACTACTCTTCTGCTAGTGCAGGTCTGTTTGGTGATGGAGGTTGGTCGATCAATTTCCATTATTATGCTGTATCGCGTTACATATCGGTGCAGTCAGTCTATTGGGTCCCGATACCTTGAGCTGATACCTTGAGCTGAGGCTGATGACTGTATGATCCTCACTCCCTCCTCCTCGGCCGATCCGATCCATCTTGAACAACACCGCATGCACCTCGCTTGTTCTTTCTCACCCATCTGAACGTCACAATACAAAATCCTCTCGAAGGCTATCACAACTCATCTGGCCGAACATCATCGACCAACACTGATGGGTCAAATAATACTACTTCCACCCATACATCACCTGCGGTGGCCGAACCCAAGAACTCGGAAAAGCCCACCAAACCAAGTCTACAGGCTCTCATCACTGTCAATAGCGTGGCTTCTAGAAAATCATCAATGAACCAGTCAATCGCACCCGATCAAGGGCAGTCTAGTCTTCTTTCACTGACCTCTCAGCTTACTCCACCCGGACGACAGTGTGAGCCCACACCACCAGGGCAACTAATGTACAGTTCAGCATCTCCGACTCTACATAGTATATCTTTACCACCCGACCAGAATGCAAGTGGCAGTCCTTACCTTCATTCTAGCTCATCGCAGCAACCTTATCACATTGCTCGACCCAATACGCACGCCGGTACGTCAGCCTCGTTCGGCGAGCGACCCGACAGTTCATATGGTCCCCCCACTCCTCTCCACAGCGCCAATAGCCCAACCAGTCCCTTCGCTCTCACCGGTTACTCGGCAAACTCTCGTCCAGGGACTGCGAATGCTGCTGTGAACGTTCCAATGTATGGTGCCAGTTACGCAAATAGCCGGCCGGGCTGTTATGGGATCCCGAGGCTCAACATTCCGAGCTCTAATCCTTCTCAGCCACCCTCTAACAGCTCTTCTCCGGTCTATGGCAATGTACGAATGATATCGAATGGCTCTGATCATTCACATGGCAATATCCAGCAGTCTAGTCTAATCCCCACAAATAACCAGACAAATCCCTATGGTGTTATGTCCTCTCATCCAATGGGATCAGTGGATGCTCCTAACCGAATGTATAACTTCAACATGCTGCCGGTAGCACCGAGAAAAAGGGCACGAAGACGGTACGATGAAGTGAGGCTCTGATTTCTGTTTGACTCTTATGTTGAAACAAAAAAATTGACGTCTTTTCTTCTAAACTAGATTGAGCGACTATATAGTTGCAGTTACCCCGGGTGTACAAAAGCTTATGGAACGCTGAATCACTTGAATGCTCATATTACCATGCAAAAACACGGTCCCAAGAGACTCCCGCAGGGTAAGTACAGTCGTTCACTTGAGTTTGACTTGATGCTTACGATTCGCCTTTGTCCTCATTTTTCCAGAGTTCAAAGAAATTCGGAAGGAGTGGAGAGCCCGAAAAAAAGCTGAAGCCGAAGCTCGTTCTGCTCCTTACAAGAATGCACAACAGGCCCAGAAGAATCATCACAGTCATCACCATCACTCCCAGTTTCAGGCTCATCGACCGCTGACATCTTCCAGCTCCACCTCAAACTTGGCTGGTCAAGTTGGAAACCCCAACGCGCATACAATGAGCTTGATGGCAAATTCTTCACACCCCGGCATCTCTTACGGAAACATGACATCCAATCGTCCTCATACGATGATGAGCTCCGGTCCCAGCTCTTCCGGAAACCTGATGAATATGGGTCAACTGCAGATGGGAAGAGTACTCTCAACGGGGTCGATCGATAATTCATCACTTTCGACAAATATGATGACTATGCCTCACGGCTTCAGTCCAGATCTACTCGGTCCTCCTCTATCATCGGCGCCATCTTATTATGCTTCTTCTCCCTACGCACCTTCATCACTCGGTTCATCTCAGCATTTATCGGGCCCTGCGAGTGCGCCTAGACATGCCTCGATGAACTATGGAACACACTTACGTGTCAACTCCAGTATGGGTACTGAGCGCAACAACTTACCACAACCGGATAACATGAGAAGCGTTTCAGATAATAGCAATATGCCAAATCGAAGTCCCCATGACTCCAAATCGATCATGAAGGATGATAAAAAAACAGTCACGGGCCAGTATCTTGTTACCGCCGCTCGATAGTATCCTAGCACTACATTGCGCAAAACAAAAGACTAGAAACATGCGACACATAACTTTACAGCCTTTCCAGCAGTCCAACATAATCATGGTCACGATTCAACACAATATATATATATATATACCTTGGCGGCGCGATAATCGGTCAAGAGGTAGAAATATTCTTGACTGTTTCTTTTATTATTGGGGTATATCAGACTTTGGGTTTCTGTTTCTTTCCGTTCCTTCTATCTTATCAAAGGAACTTGCATATATAACATCATTTTTTCAAGCTGTTCCCTCGGAATTTGACTCCGACTAATTCATGTCAAGAATACCTACATATATCTTAATAATTCAAAACTATGAAAAAAAGAAGAAAAACAGCGCTGAGTAGGAATGGACTAAAGGTATTCAGATAGTGGAAGAATTTGTTTACTTTTACATCAGTTTTTTTGTTTTCTTCGTTCCACCTCCGTTCACTTAGTTAAAGTCAAATTTGTCTTCTTCGAGCAGTCTTTCTAAAACTCACTTTTTTTACTTTGTTCTTGTGGGTGATTTTGGTTTTGGTCTCAGTGCAGTCAAAGGATTTATCACATTCTAGTTTTCTTGTGAATACATAATTAAAATATCACCCAGGGTGTAAACACAGCTCTTTTGAACCCAACTTAATATAATTCAGTAATTGGCATTGTATGAGTGTTGTGAGTACCCGCAGGGGCACCATTCACACGCAAGATTGACAAACCTCTGAACTTGACATTCACCTCTCAAAAGCTCCCACAGACCTCTTCTCGGCACTCGGTTGTAACTACTTGCTTCCTTCCTCCTGCCATGCTAGGAATGCCTTTCTGATATCCGATGCTACTGTATGTTGACACCTTGTTGCAGAGTGTAGCGTGTGTTACATTGATAAAGAGCATCTTAACTCTACATTCTGACGCAGACCCGAAAAAAGCCCCAACAGGCATTGAGTCCTTATTGTTAGAGTTGAGGGTTTAGAAAGTATTCATCATCCCACAGGCCAATCAACTTGAAGAAAATATGGCCTCTAACATGGTTTTGTACACCCTCAACTCCTTGGTGTGGTCAAGATGCGGATACAAGATATATGTTGTGGAGATCATGGTCTTTCTCAGATAATTGTATCTGATAATCCAAGAGTAGGTGCTGGCGATCGACACATGATCACATCTGTAGTCCAAATTTGGTAGTCTATTGGCTCATTCTTTGTATTTCTCTGCTTCCAACACATTTTTTCCAACAATAGATCCGTTCTCTTGAGTAAGAGGTCTCACCTCAATCATCTAGCCATGTTTAACTTTGAGGGCGATACAAGATAATAAGATATATTTGTCCTTTGCAGTCTACGTAATCTTTTGGGCTGTCCTTTCAACTTGTGCCAGAGGTTCCACCAAGGTGCGATGTTGTGAAAACTCATCAAAACCCACATATGTAGGGAAAATGAGTCCTCTGAAGCCATCAAGCCGATCGCATTCAACAATTTGAAGTCATAGGTACGATTTGATACCCTCACTCATACACCAATTCATTTTGTCTTAATTGCTTTGGGTTGGATGTTCTCGTGAATCCATGCTTATCATACAAAGAGGCATGGGCTGTAGCTGATCATCCATGTGAGTCAATTTGATATCTATGACTCAGGATGCAATTTCCTCTCGAAACTTTTCTGATACATAGGGCGATGACTGATCAAATTTTGGATTCTAAACCGCTGATCCCACCACGTGCAAAATATACGATACAGAAACTCATCTTTTGAAGTGATGAGGATAAGTTGTAATCAAACAATAAACTTGAAATAATAATTATAATCGGAGGCTGCAGCTCCTTTTCACCAGAAACTAATTTTTGGAAGAGCAGAATAAGTCGCAATCACACAATCAGCTTGAGAAGATGGTCGTAATCGGAGGCTAGAGCTTCCTTTCCTGGAGCGTACAACGCCTTTCAAGAAGGAAACATCGCAGAGTGAAAAAATGAGGCAATTTCGAACGGAGATTTGTCTCAGCAGTTCTCAGCCGATGCCGCAATACCTGGACGAGAGTAATCTACCCTATCAGCGACAACTTTCTTACCACTAGCGCAAGTCACCTTGACAGCAACAGTGGCAGAATCCTTGGGCGGATTCGAGAGTTGAACTATGAATTGAAAAGAACCGAGACATCAGGTAAGCTAGAGCTCTGAAAGCTCAAAGTCTAGGTGACGAACAAAAGTTATCACTCGACTGTCGGGTAGTGTTGGTCCAGGATTGACCACCGTCAGTTGAGATTTCGACGGAGTGGACTGGCTGGTTAGCGCCTGCGATTTGCATTGACATGAAATATCTCGAAACTCCTTCTTTGTTGATGATCTTAAGTGGAGTGGGGAAGCCACAGGGAACAATTTCCCTAAGAAAGAAGCAAAGTTTGCATATGTAAGTGTTTTGTATCCATGCACACTTCTGCCAAACAATATAGACAAACAACATAATTCAAGAAGGCAGGCAGAGACTAGAGGGACATACCAAGTGATCGGTAAGGCGGAAGGCGACGCATTTCCTGTGACTGCGTTCCACATCACGGGGTCCATATCCAGTCCGTCATTGGAGCACTTTTTGAATGTTTTTATCAACATCAGCGTACATCAGATAGAACAGGGAGCGCACCAATCCAAACTGAAGAAAAAAAACCTACCGAGAAACATGAATCTCCGACAATTGCTACCTTTTTCATTCCGGTGGGACCAGTAACTTCGACACATGACCCACACAAGCTCGCACTGTTCCATAAGTTTCCAGCCATAGCAACTTCAGGAAAACCAGCTGGAGGATCCCAATCCTTGAAGTCACAGCTTTTTTTTGGAAAGGGAAAACATGAAATTTGGACAACGCGGTCAGTTTAGTTACGCAAGTGTATTATTTTGAGACGCAAATATCCAGAAGAAATTTTTGAATTTTGGTATTTACTTTCCACCTTTCCAATTTCCACCCTAAAGATCAGAAGGGGTGCGGAAACGCACATATAATCAGAAATATGGATCATGAACCAATGTCGATGATGCAGAGTTTCAAGCCTTTTTAGGGTGATGACTTACCCACATGGTGCCTGTGCCTTTGTACTTTGGGGATAATCCTGTTCCATTGTGAGCTGGGGCAGGTGCGGGTTGTGGGACTAGACCACCAGTGGAATTTTTTTTCGGCTGAGTGTCATTACGAGGTGTTTCTTCTGTATCGTTGACCTTTGGATCATTCCTAGTTGACATATAGATGTTGGAACTGGTCTTATTTGGGTAGAGAGAATGGTGAGCACCATGCGGGGCTGCCACATATGTCCCTTCAGAAGATCCTTGGTGAGGATCACCCGACAAGTTTTGCGACCCAGTATTCATTTTATTGTCAGGGATATAAGAGATCTTCGTGTGGCTGGGGTGCTTTCTGACTCTACAGCCCCCGTCATGTGGGAGTGCTTCACTGACTTGGCTGTGTATGATAGCCACCATAAGAAAAACGGAATAAATGAAACGCGAAGGTTGTGATGATCGAAACATCTTGTGCGTGGTAATCTTGAATGTAAGGAATGATAAATCTCAAGGAAGTGAGAAATTTAGACCAGCGGATAAATGTATCGAGAGCGAAAAACGAATGTGTGGTGATAACTGAAGAGGAAAGGGTAAAGAAACAGTCGACTGAAAGCAGAGACCGCAGACTATATAAGCTTGGAAAGCGCTGTGGGTGGGCTTTATTGAGCTTCATTGTCAACTACAGTTTGACCTTGTAAAGCATGAGCATCTCAAAATCGCCTCTGCCAGGCAGCACCACGGTGGCAGCACGGCCCTCGAAATCAACTCAAAAAGTTGAGGAGGTCATGCATTGGCAATCTGTGGCTGTCAGAATGCGCCAACATTCCGGCTAGATCCATATGCGCCCGGGCCTCAACTCCAAAAACTTTCTCTTGATTTTTCATTCTTTTTGCAAGAGATAGTACATGGGAATGTATGTTCGCGTTGCACATCATAATAATCACGCACTTGACAAGAGACGCGGGCACTGGTGAACCTTGAGGGGCGAAATCTCCTCGAATTGCGGTCTCTTGACAAAGCAATCTGATCACGCAAAAATTACATCACGAGCCGCGATTTGTATCATGACATCATGTACGATTCAACAATATCGTAAGAGAGCGATGAAGGGCGATCAAAATGCGAAGAATGGGCCAAATCTAACCAATCACACGCATCATTTCTGATTGGAAGTTAATCGGAATGGCAATGATCCATCGCGGGCCTGAATTGCGCAGGGTGATTTGCGCTGTACTACGTGACGGAGCTTACTAGAAAAAAGATGTGTCCAGACGTGGACCGTTGACGCACTCTGACGTGATATTGCCGGGCACAAAGTGGTCCCTTCGTATCAACCCGAACCTCACGCCGATTGACGGTGGTCAATTCTCTGTCAAAACTGCATCGGTAACATGGGAATGTAGCAAATCAAGGCTCAAGTAGTCGCAGTCTAACGAATCATGAGGCCCAACAGAAATCAAATTAGGGGTACACAAACATCTCAACCCGACCTAATAAAACCCATGGCAACCCGATTGATTTTTGGATTTTTTAGCGCCAAAAACTCAAAATCAATCGGGTTGGCACGGGTTTTTTGGATGGGTTTTTAAGGTCGGGTTGAGATGTTTGTGTACCCCTATTGTATTACAAGGGACTCATCGCATTAACTATGGGTGTGTCATTGAACCAAAAAATGACTTAACATAGTTCCATCAACAAGTCAACCAAGTCCATCACTGCGAGCGAGGTTGCGACTCGCGAGAAAGAGTTCCATCATGCCTTGGCCTTTTCTGGGTTCTTTTTTCATCTTTCCTGTATCTTTTTCTAGTCTACCTGTGTTCAAGGTATGTACATACTTGAGCTGACAAGGCTGAAGGGACTTTTGTTGAGTTTTTCAATACCCCACTAACCCCTGAAGAGTTCTAATCGAAGCTAGCACCAGAAAAGCAGGTTTCTTTGTGTGAACTTTTTGCACACTGCCTTTTTTCATAATTGACTCAAGTATTAGTAAAGTCAAAGCTCATATGTGATCTCTTGCAATCACCATATACGTTCCCATCTTGCGGGTCTCTTGTGATTATCTCCGTGTTCAACTGCAAGATTGTGGTAAGCACTAAAGTAAAGCTCACTTTGGATGACAGAGATCTTGAGTCGAGTATGTACAAGTTGAAATAGCTATCCGTTCATGTTTTCCGTTCTCGAATCCCATGATGATGAATGTCATTCCGATGCCAAGAGCTTAAAAGACCAAGGAACAATCAGTCAATGGCTCAAGGAAAGAATTTGCTTCCACCACCATTGAGGAGCATGGATGACAACAAGAACAAACTCATCCTCAGAAGCCTTGATGAGCTTACCAGTGTTTCAATAGTCTTGATTGGAAAGGGTCAAGCGGGTGAAGGGATTTAATCTTGAAGCAGTCTTTTATCCAAAGATCTTTCTCATCACAATAACACAATAAGACAAAGATTCTTACTACGTCTTGGACGCAGGAAACCATTCTTTGCACATCAGAAGCCTCAAGTTGCCTCAAGTTTTTGGGTTCCAGCCAAACAGGCCCTTGACTGATACATGACCCACAAAGCTTGGGAAAATGGATAGTGAATTTGGTGTGAAGCTTTGAAAAGCCAAGAGCATTTGAACCCTAACTTAATTAAGTCCATCTGCTCTTTTTGATGGACTTAGTTAAGTTGTATCTGAACTCATTTATGGGATACAAAGTAGAATCCGGGCACATGCCCGGCCTCATGCCCAGATTTTTTTTGGCAATAAATTTGAATTCTGGACCCGGACTTTTGCCCAGAAAATCAAAATTTACTGCCAAAATAATTCCGGGCACAACGCCGGGCAGATGTCCGGATTCTACTTTGTATCCCACAATTAAAAGGGGGGTTTGTATTTTCATTAGCTGTTTTAAACCTGACCCGGTTGACCAAAAATTTGGTACACCCGGTTCAGTAATTGCGAGTTGGCTATCAGACTGAAGCAATGCTAATTATATTAGCTAAGAAAGAGATTACTATCTCTGTGACCAATGAGAGCAGAAGTTACCTGCTTGAAGTAAAGGTAAAAATCGGTGAAGAGAAGGAAAACAAATAGAGAATATCAACACCTATTTATACCTAAGATTCAGTCAACAAGAACACAGCAAATATAGCACACACAGCGATGATATCATAACATTAGTAAGAAAATGATGTCATTGATATAAGAGGAATAGAGAATAAGAAAGGAATGAATCTAAGATTAGATAACCCAAATACTACTACTTCAATTTCAGTTGCATTTCATGCTGTGTGCCAGGAACGTGGAAAGAAAATCACAAGAAAAACTTTCACAAAAACCCTCTCTCCTCATTCAATCAATCCAATATGCCACACAAACAGAAGACAACAAAGCCCCCTCTTGATTCCAGCACATCATCAGACTCTCACCCATATTTGGATAACCCCGTTGCTGTGATCACCAACACTCCAAATCAAACTCTCAGTGCAGTACCTAGCAGCTTCATGCCAGTTTCAGCTATTACAGCCTTTCAAGATTCACCCGTGGCTTCCCTCTCACAAACCAACTTGATCTGATTGGGGCAGGCTTTGGCAATCTCAGCCTCACTAACAGAGGATTTGTGAGCAAGTCATAAGGAATCAAAGAGAATGGTGTGAATTTTGACTTTTGCACTTACATACACACATGTAACAGCATTTACAACACAAAAAGCCTATTTTATCAATCTTTACAACTCAACTACACATTCATCACACATAAGAAGTAGGTCATGTTATGTCAAGTATTGATCAGAACCATGAGATCTACAAGATGAGCTATAGTAATAAAACATTGGAGCACTTTAGAAAAAAGTTCAAACTCCAAAAATGGGTTTCAGCTATGAATATCTAAAAACCAAAAAGATGGACCTCTCACATGAGTTCCAGTCTCTCCTCCTGTCTGTTGGTTGGATACACTGGGTCTAGCAATGTTAGTGCCCTCCATACCACATTGTTCTTCTTTTTTTGGCACTTACAGTGTCTTTTGTTCTGATTTCTTGTCCAAGAAAGCTGAATTAGTTGAACTTTTGAGTGATGGAAACCTTGTTGATAGGTGCATTTAGTGCACCCAAGGTGTTTGCAATCACTCAATTAACAGATTCATTGATTTGTTTTTACTTTTGATTTCAATTTTAACCCAATCACATTTTGGTGCTTTTTGTTTCAATCCTTTCACCCTATTCAAATATCACACTTCATGTTTGCTTTCTACCCTTTGTCAATTTTAGAGTGCTTTCTTATGGTGATCTTACATTTCTTTGCTTCTGAGAGTAATTTGCTTTTCAAATCAGTCCTGCCTGAACCTTTACCTTGCCTATAAGTACAGAGCCAGGCTATAAAAAGACATATTTCTTGTCATTATTTTGGTCTCATTGCATCCATACAGCTCTCCTACAATCAATCAACTATTTGATCTTAGATACTTCATCATCTCACATTACTGCAAACCTTGACTCTTTATTATCCCTTTCATTATCTCATTGCCAATTTTTTCTTCTATTTTTTTGTAATTAACCCCATATCAATAACATGGCATGTACAAATTGGGAAGAAATCAAGCATCAAAGTTATTGGAAGAGGATTGCAGTTGTTTAAGTTTGAAGATACTTGATGGATTGCAAATGTATTTAAAATAATGACCACTATCACTGCCACAATTAAATAGGTTCCCAGGTGGGAAAGTGATCTAAACTGGGAACATGATTAAGAATAGAATTTGTCATGAAATCATCTTGCACTGTGCAACTGAGCCTTGAAGCATATGATACACATGTGCAAACATCTGAGTGAATCCTTAGCTATCTGCTACATACAGATCAAATCAGTTAACTGTTCATCTGGAAAAGAAGATCCCATGTAATATGTGCTGTAATTTTGTTCAGATTCAGACAAGCATTTTGAAAAATTGGCTACATATATTAAAAAGCCTACTTGGGAAAAATTTATGGAGCTGTTCAACAGTAGCAGAAGGGGAATCTGGTTCCTAGGACCCACTTTACCATCCAGGAACCTCTCAAATGCTGGAGGTGTATGACTACCACCCTCATTCAAATGGGCTACATCAGCTGAGTTTGAAGTAATAGGTTGAGATTTGAGATCAGTAGATTCTTGATGTTGATTAAGCACCCCTTGATTTGAGGAATCTGAAGTTCACATTGAGGTTTAAGATTCAATCCAAAACACATTCCATATATCTTAAAGTGACTACAAAAAAATATGATACTACATACCACTTGATTTATCATAACCTGTGTCTTATCTACCACCAATGCTCGGACCTCATCGTAATCCACCATAACGTTATGAATTATCCATAACGTTACGGTGAACCGTATTCAGGACCAACCGTGTCGTAGCGTTATAGGGGGGGGGGCGTAGCCAAAAATTGGTCATGGTACGGTGGGACCTTAACGTAACGTATCACAATGGCCATCTGAAGCTCAG